ACATTCCATAGACCGTTGGCTGTGAGGATGGCCAGCAGATCATTCATCCATCACTGGGAAACTGCATTCACTTTCAGTTGTTTTTGCCTGGGTTAACCAACCAACAACAGAATGTGCCTGTGTGGAACTTAGTGCTCACAGGCAAGAATGGTTCATCTGTCAGCCAAAGCACTGGGCAGGGGATGGTGACATGGGTAATAAGAAACTAAATACCTAGGTGGTAGAGGAGCAAGTTGGAATTATATCCAAGTGATAGTGTTAACAGACTGATAAGGCTGTGGCAAGCATCATTTACAATGCATGGCAATGTGGGAAATTTATGTGGATTGTACAAGTTAGACTGGATTGTGGTCTTACTCAGGTAGTTCTGTAGATACTTCAGACAGTCCCACTCCACAATAATTTCTAGCCCTTTCACATTGTAAATGTTTTAATGCACACACACACACACACACACACACACACACACACACACAAACGTGTATGTTTCACTATAGCATAATTTTTTTGGATTTAACTCCATGTTAAATCTATTACTTGGGGGGCTAGGGTTATAGCTCAGTTGGTAGCATGCTTGCTTAGCATGTATTATGTATGAAACCCTAGGTTTGATCTCCAGCATAAAACTGGGTGCAGTGGTACAGGCCTATAATCCCAGAACTTGAAAGATGGAAGGTAAGAGGATGAGAAGTTCATGGTCATCCTCAGTTACGTGGCACCTTTGAGGTCAACCTGAGCCATATGAGACCCTGTCTCAACAAACAAAACAAGAACCATAAAGTCTAGTACTGGGAATTGCCATTCACTAGTATCAAAACAACCTCTGACCTCAACTATTAATCCCAGCACTCGGGAGGCAGAGGCAGGCGGATCTCTGTGAGTTCAAGGCCAGCCTGGTCTACATAGTGAGTTCCAGGACAGCTGACCCTGTCTCAAAAAGACCAAAACAAACAAACAAAAGACCAAAACAAAACAAAAAAACCCTATACCAATGTGAAACATATATATTCCAGACAAATTATAATACTAGGTATTGTTCATTGAGTGGAACACTACCTTTCCTCTGGTAGTACGATCTAAACTGAATGAAACTCTAGGAAAATTTCTCTTAAATTATGCTTTTCTGAGGGATAATTTTGAGGGTATCAGGGAAATATAGGATTTCATAGTCTTTAGTCTTTATTGATTTGTCAGGGAAGATGTTCTATTCAGAGAGGAATACATCCTAGGCTTCATCTCTTTTATGTGGTAAAACATATATAAAATTTACCAACTTAATCTGTTTTAAGTTATAACCGAGTGGCATTCAACATGCTTGTGATGATCTGTGTCCACCCGCCTGCCCCCCACCCCCACTATCCTCCAGAGCTTCATTCATCTTGTGAGGATCTCTTTATATAAAAAGTATCTTCCCACAATTATGTATGTCTTTATATTTTCTTACTTTGCTGTTGATCCTTTGCAAGAACCCTTTAATATTTATTACCAAACAAACCACATGGCAAAATTTTTTCTTTATAAGAAGTCAGTGGTACATTTCATAACCAAAGCCACTTTGGGATAGTCCTAGCTATTCACTCTGAAATATACAAATATTTGGAAACTGTTAAGTTGATGTTATGAAGTGAATGCACATTTATTTCTATGGAAATTTATGGTCATATATATTTAAATATATAATTAAAATGCGTGTGTGTGTGTGCAGATGCCTCTGGAGGCCAGAGGCATTGGATCCCCTTGGAGCTGGAATTACTGGTGGTTGTAAGTCACCTGATGTGGACTCTAACTCTTCTCCAAGAGCAGTAAGTGCTCTTAGCTACTGAGCCATCTCTCTAGCCCATGATCCTATACTGATAGAGCAATATAAATTCTAGTTCCAAAGCCATTAGGTGAAATGAAATGTCATCATGTTTTTGAAAAATTAAAATGATTTAGTTCAGATTATTTCATTTAATTGTTTTCTCCCTTTTATATACTTTTTGTGTACCTGTCAAAACCATAACCATGAAAATGAAATTTGTAGTTGATCCTGGCATGGATCAACCTACTAAAATCAGTCGACATATACTGCATATGATGTGTGGAAACAGAATCTAGTTTACCCGCCTGAATTTATCCTCATTTGTATTCCGAAGCTGAGTTCTGGGTTAGGCCAGGGAAATAGGAAGTCAAAGTTAATGCAGATATGTAAAAATCAAGGTCTGGAGAAGTTTTGGACTGGTAATAGTTAAGTTTTGGAATAACAACAATTTCTTGGCTGTTTTTTGACCTAAGGTCAAAAGATGGAGGTGACTGTAAACATGATGTTCTAAGTACTTGTGCCTTCAAAAACTGTGTCAGTCCTAGGATTGCTCTTCCCTTCTCAGTCTCCCTCTCTTAACATCAGAACCATTCCTTCGGGGACAGGAGCGGGGGGGGGTGGGGGGAGAGAACTAGGATGGCAGGAAAGGTCTCAGGCAGGGTGTTCCTAAAATGCATGTAAGTTACTTGGAGCAGGATGAATAGAGTGGGTTGAAATCCACGGGTCAACATGCACTTACTAGGTTAGTTAGCTAGTCATCTTTGAAAGTCATCAAAGACTGAGCAGGAGGGACTCGCACTTGGGTAGGAGTTTTTAACTGAAATAAGGAGATAACTTAGAGAAAAGATGAATGGGAGTATACCCCAAATAATTCAGGACCTCATGCCTTTCATGTTCAGCATAAACAGCCATAGATTACGTTTCTGAGCAGCACTAGCTGTGCTTAGTTGTTCTTGGTGTTTCAACCTCTTGTATTTTATAAACCTCATGAAAGCATTTTTCAGTAATTCTTCACAAAGACCTTCAATATTTTCTGTCACAAAAATTCAAATAGTTGTTTTATAACGTGTTTGGTTTATTGCGTTTCGGTAGAATGTTATTATTCTGTGTCACATCTCAGTTACTGACTTTAAATATAAGCCTCCTTCTCTGCTATGAGGAAGTGGAGCAAATAGTATTATATTTCCTGTTGAATTCATGAGTTCCATCATTAAAGAGGGATGGATGGTGTGATCTACTACTAACATCTTCTAAACCACAAACACATCTTCTAAAAGCAAAATGATGGCTTTATAGCCATAACGCATACCCTGAACTCTTGGTGAATCAGGTAAGATTACATTTCATACTTGTACATTTAAGAAAAATTCCTATGTAAGCCATTTCTGGGAAAAATTATTACCACTTTATGTCATGATATTTTCTTTCATAAAACCCTAAATTCCTTCTCTGCTCTTATTTTTAATTACGAACTCTAATGAAAATGCCTAACATTTCTAAGTTAAGAGTTCCTTGTTGAAAAGAGCCATTTGGACATGAGATAGCTTTACTGCTGCATGCCTGTATGTATTTTGAACATCTACCAATAAGATAAATAGATACAAGCACCAATGGGGCATGCCTCTGAACGATCGCAGAAGAATGCCAGTGTGGCTGTTACAGCATCACCATGGAAATACTTCATTCAGTGAACATTTAATTATTAACGCACAAGAGAAAGAATATTGACCTCAGAAGATTATTTGGTTTTCCCCCCGTTTTACAACCATAACATTTTTACTGAAATGACTCGTGCAACTTATTTACAACTGCGGTAAACTTCCCAACAGTTTTATTATGGACAGTGATGAATATCTTCACTTTTCAGATAAGGATATGAAACAAAAAAACAGGTTAGGAATTTTTTTTCCTCAGAGACAGTGTGTGGAGTCAGAAGCTGAAGTTGAGGGAACTAGACCAAGCCCAGCTCTCCCCACACCAGTGCATCCCAGGGAGGGACCAACTTCCTTACTGCAGTGACCTCACTGCTTAGCTGCGGGCCCGAAACCCTGCTAAAATGTTATGAAACAGTCATGGACAAAACAAGAGACAGGAAGGGGAGAAAGCTCAGGGGTGAGATGCATTCCATTGCTTGCTTTCTCTTATTTCACATTTACGCAAAGGTCATCCATGTCCCTAATAAACTTTGTAATATTATACTTCCCTTGAAGGGATTTTAATAATTATTTTCTCCTTTGCATTTATAATTTCTTTTGATAACCTTCCCCATTTTGGGGAAAAGAAAATGTATGTCAGATATCAACTGTCTGAATACCAATTCTATCACTCTTTAGGGTCACCTCTTCCTGAGGCTTCCTCTTGCACTTGGGTTCGCAGTGGTAATTGTCAATACATTTTAGTAAAATACCTCTGAAACTTATGTGTTATCTGTTTGTTAGTTGTAGCCATATCTTTAAATCTCTTTGGTAAACAACAAATCACATGCTTTTTCTTTCCATACACCATAATGGCTCCAAGCAAGCACTAATTTGTGTAATGAGAATTATGTTAGACAAGTTTTAGGAACAAAACATTTGTTTTTGTCCTGTTAAACATTAGTTGTATGGGATACATGTATTCTGAGTTACAAAGCAAAGTCCATGCCATTTGCTTTTTACACCATATGGTATTACATCAATGCCTTAACAAACCAAATGAGGATTATGGTTGTTATTCCCGAAGATGTCACCAGACACAACACACACTTAGGCACTCAGCACACCCACTCCAAATGCTCATATGTGGACTAGCCCGCTTAGCTTTGTTCACTGTCTCAAGAAGCACACTCCTGGAGGACGGGTGCGACTTGTTTCCTGATACGACTTTCTTCTGTCTCTCCTAAGGTGGTTAGTTCTCTCTTTACCTCTGTCAGATCACTGAGCACACCGCATGGTAATTACTGTTTGTGTTTCTTCTATAAACCTGGTTTGTGCATGAGGGCAGAAACTGAGTCTTCCCTCAGTTCTGAATACAGAGTCAGCACTCGGTAAATATTCTGAATAGAACTTGTGACTCTCCGAAAGCATTTTTCCCTGCACAGTAGGCTTAGATTTGACACAGTAGGCTTAGATTTGACACTGGGATTTAATAGGAATGTTCCTGAATTAGTGAGGTAGAAGCTTGTAAATGTAGAAATATATTAATAATTTTTTGTCATTCCAGGTAGCAACTGATCCTTTTACGATGCTTGGATCTCAGCCCATAGTATACTCATCATAGAGTAAAGCTGAGGAATACAAGTAGAAATAACCATTTGGACTTGTGAGTAAAAACTGGGTGTCACCCACACTTTTAAAATTGCATTTGGATGCCATAATCACATGTTTTCATTGTGAAGGACGATGTTGTTATTCTTAGGGCATTTGTGTTAAAGCATTTACGGGTGAGATGCCATGTTTGCACTAGATGTAGATGTAGGGATAGGGGCTGGGAGAAATGAAGCAAACATACAACAAGCTGACTGTCTACCTGAAAGGTCTAGTGTTCACTGTTCTGTTTCTAACTTGAGTTTCCTCCTCGACCTCACTAATGTAACCAGCTCCATGGTATTTAGCAAGTTAGTTTTATTTTTTTCTTAAAAAAAATGGAGATAATGGCAGATCTTACTGACAAAGTCACTATGAAGTTTAAATGGCACAACAAATGTAAAGCTTTCAATGCATGTCAGGCTTCCAATCAGGGCACAAAGGCTCAGTGATCAGTCCTTGCTGAGTACATAGACTGTAACTATCTGAGTGTCAATCACATGCTAACCTTGCTGTTTTGTCTTATACAGTGGGGGGATTGAACCATGGCCTCATTCTCCCTAGGCGAGTACTATACCACTGAGCTATATCCCCAGACTTAACTTTACCATTTTAAGCATACAAATGCACTTACATTTACCACTGTGTAACTGAATCATTATGTAATCTACAGGTAATATAAAAGCCTTTATAAGATAAACTATTTTTGTTTATTCTGATCCTCAAATTCATAAATTGCTAAGAGGTACACCAAAATGTTTTGTCAGAGAAAGTTTTAAGTATTGCATTAGTTTTTCTTTTTGTTAAGGAGACAAATTAATTTCATAACTGTTAAAAAATTTAAAACATAAACATTTTCTACTGTCTAGAATGTTCTGAGATTTCTTTGTGTCTACATACTTTACATCATCAGACTGCATTTGTTTCTCATTTTCAAAGTTGGTTTCTTTAAATAGACATGCTCACCTGTTTATAATAATAACAGCAAGCACACAGGACTGCCTAGTAGGTACTGTTCCAATGGCTTGATGCACAGCAACTTGTTTTACTCTTCAAGACACTAGGATTGAGTCTTAGCATCCTCCTGCCATGTGCAATGAGGCACAGGCAGCCAGAGTAACTTTACTTAAGGTCAAGCAGTGCTGCGATCCCCCCCTGGGCAATCACCAGTGCACATGCTCATAACCACTCTGATGGTGCATGGGCAAATAAAGGACAGCACGGTGTGAAGACACCCAGAAAACAAAATGATGTCTAGAACATTTTCATTTATGGAGAAATGGCAGAAACCCTATCCAAACATCAGAAGCACAGTTTCACTGAACCAGCTGTTTGATATTCTTCATGAACTCTTCTGCTGGTGCCCTAACCCTGTCTGTCCACATATGGTTACTGTTTCTCAGAGCTAGCACAAATAGTTATAATCTTTGCTGAGCCACAGCTACTTGACAGATGCTGAGCCTCATTTTCTGGTGAGTGTGCCATTGTGCTCAAGGGTGGCAATTTTAGGAATCAAGTGTTCTTCCACAAGGCCAAGAGCCTTGGGGTTGTAACAGAACACTGAGTGGTTCTGATATACGATGTGCTAATTTGAGGGTAGATGTACTTTGAGGTGGTTTTGCTTGAGGTCTTAGATACTGTGAACTCAAAGAGTGATTGATGGACAGGCTTTAAGTGTTTCATCTCAGGCAAGGATTAGAGCAGATTAAAAGCATTGCTTTCCTTAAGTGTCTGCTATAGAAGGGATGTGTGTGTACATATATGTTACTCTTATTGTCTGAAATAGATTTCTAATATACATATTCTCATCTTTCTCCATACACATATACATACACAAACACATATATGAACATTGTAGCCAATGTATTCAGGATGAAAGAGAATAAAAAAAGGCTTTTGAAATTTTCGTGATTTTCTTCAAAAACATTGTTTCCTGTTTACTTCTGCTATCCAGTTTCCAAAAATGTGTGCTAGTTTTGAACCTAGTAGGACCAGAAAGATGGAGATTCATTCTACAGTGGATTCAAGTGGTAATTACTCAGGCTTTCTTTGGACACAGAGGATATGGATTCACTAAGTCCAGCTCTGTTAGGAGCTACATGAAGAAGTGTCTGATGGTTTCCTTGGGGTCACAGAATTTCATCAGCTGAAGGGATTTTAGAACCAAGTCAGTTCCAGCTACTGACCTGAGAAAGAAGGAAATGAGGCACAGAGATGGTTCTGGAAACACAAAAGGGTTTCAAGCTCTTTCTGTGGAAGGTTAAGGGCAACAACAAAATAATAAAGCTATTAAAATCAACATCTTCATTTAAGTAGTAGCCCAGGGCTCAAAAAATGAGTTGATGACAGAGGTGCTCAGCCACAGGGAAGAACCCTGCACCACTTTCTTCTGCCCAAGCTCTTTGGTCCTTCTAAGTTCAGAACAGGGACTATGAAACTGGATCACCCATGAGGGTCATGGCTGGGAGCCATGGAACCTCCGACCTGCCTAGTGCTTTCTTTCCCTCTCTCTCATAATCTTTAGGCTTTATACAATTTCAGTAAGAATCCCAAAGTAGGAAGGAAGTAGGACCAACATGGTTTAAGAACTATTACTATACCATGAAAAGACTTCAAGTTGAATGGTACAGTTTGGTTCTAACACTGATAACTGATGAGAAAACTACAAAGGGTAAAACCTAGGTCTTTTAAAAATGGTCAGCTTGATGTGATAAGATGAAAGTTACAAATTTATCATGTTGGTACATGAAAGTAAAAAATGGCACAATCTTCAGTACACTCCAATTCATTCAAGTATCAAAGTTGCCACAGCTGGGATAATATCACATTGCTTAGCGGTATCCTCTTAGCCTTTCCTCCCACTTTTCTGTTCATGAGTGTGGGGCTGTGCCCGTCTGGCCCATCTGGGTCTCCAGCATTGGGTGCAGCAGAGTGATGAGGGCCGCCCCAGAAAGACAACATAACACTTAGGGATTTTTAAAAAGATCAAGACATTATAGATTTTGCATGTGTTCAAGGTAAACCAAGAGTAGTGCTTGCCCAAACACCACTCTTCTGCCTGGTAACTCTTGGAGGTGTCATCCAGACTGTTTCTCTTAACTGGTGGTGTTAGGAAGCCCTGTGGCCCAGGCCTGCCGACCCACTCTGCAAGGGAAGTCACTTACCACAACCCCTCCAGGAGTAACCTTGCAGAAGTACTTAGAAATGTCTTTGGTCCCTTGGAAACAAGGTACCATGAAACTCAGCGGGAGCCGAGAATCAAAAGCTGGGGGCCTGCCTACCAACCCTTACACACCCTCCCAGTTCTGCCCAAATGTAGGTGTAGCTGTAAGGACCCAGTGACCTTACTAGGGTAAATTCGGAGTCGCGAGTCTTCATTGTCAAAATGGGGATTATACCACTTACTCCACTGGTTTCCTGTCATTGTCACCATCCCGTTAGATGACAGACAGGGAATTGCTTTGAAACGACATAGCTTATATTACTGTTCACGAGAGACACCTGACATATACCTATTTGAAAAAGATCAGTCCTGTGATTATTACAAGTTTGGCTGTGCTGGCACTTGGATTATACATCATTTAAAGTCATGAAAGAGTCAGCACTTCTGCAGGGGTACTGGAGATAATAAGCTATAAGTTTTACTTTGAAATCTGTACACGAAGTCCTCCTCACCTTATCCATTTGACACAAAATGGAAAACTGAGCATCCTCAGATACTGGCTCTTCAAATCATAGCGTGTCCTTGCTTTGCTCTGTGATGTTGGAGAAGTAACAACCTGTCTGGCCCGAAGCTTCTCATTATTAATATAGTTTTGACTTTCTGTCAACCTTTTTTTCAGCTGTCAGCTTCGGTATACAGAGTAGGTTTTATTAATAATCACCCTAATATCTTTGCTTTAGATGCTATAAAATCCAGAAAGATCTGGTCCATTCATGACAGCTGAGGAAAATGCGATAGGCACTAAAGGGAGATTTGTGAGTAAATGAGTAAAAAGACACTAAGGTGCCTCACAAAAATCTCATCTTGGCACAACGGGAACAAAAATGTCAAAGGCACAGAAGCTCACAGGCCCTGGGTTAGGCTTCCCGTTGGGCACCGACCTCTTCAACGATAGGACTCTAACTCTGTTCCGTTAAAACGGATTCTTCATTAGCTCTTTGTCCAGAGTAAACAGAAGGCACCGGTTTCGAAGACAGCCGGTCCGACCCTCCCTGTTGCGCACAACCTCGGGGCTCGGCCATCAGGGGCTGTCTCCCAGGCGCCAGCTCCTCAACGGAGGACCCGGCGCAGCAGCGGCGCCCCCCGCCCCCCTCATCCCTCGCCACGGTCCCCAGGTACCTGGCCTGAGCACCCTCGGGTCCCAGGCGGGGCGGGCGGGCTGGGCTCCGCGGCCACGTGCGCCTGCTGCCCGCGCCGGAGAACCGCGTCCTCGCGAGCCCCGGCGGCGCGTACCTGCCCCGGGGGCGCCGTCCTAGGCGGCTGTGCAGTGCTGCGCTCCGGTCCCGGCTCCCGCGTCCCACGGTGCCGCGCTCAGGAAGCCCGCGCCTGCGAACCAGCGACCCTTTTATAACCCGCTCGTGACTCATAACCGACCAGCGCCTGGCTGCAAAACCCCCCGCCTCGCCCCCCTCCTGCCAGTTCTTGGAACCTACAGCTTGAAAAACTTTTTTCTTTTTAAAGGAAAAGTCGAAAAAAGTCCAGCGTCGGGAGGATCGGGTGTTTCCCCCTTCCCTTTCTCGGGGGTCACTAGGCGTGTTTTCTCCGACCCAAGGAGACTTCGGGCTCCAACCTTTGTTCTTAAAGAAAAGGAAACGCATTCAAATGACGGCCAGACGTCGCCCGGCTACCCGGCTGGAGGGGAAGTTGCTACTTTTTGCTGCAGTTAGGCAGGGAGTCTGAACACCCTGAGGGCAGCCAGGAGAAGGTGTAGGTTTCTCCAGCCCGCCCTCCCGAAGCAGGTGGAGGCAAGTGGCCCCCCAGGTCATCCGGGCATCCTCCACCTGCCCCCCCCC